ACAAAAAATGCAACAATGAACAAAGTAGAAAAAAAAAATCCTGCCTTCTAGGAACTTTCACTCTTTGTACACTCTTTGATTTTCCTTTCTCTTCCTTAGGAGCTCTTTGTAGGCAAGAAATGTTATCCTGTGCATATTACATGCTTCTCATTGTATCCTGCACCTAGTTGGTGCTTGAAAAATACAGAGGAATATATAAATGAGGGCCCCTAGTTTTGTTCCTTCCATCCTTCATGATCAGAGTTAGAGAAATGCTTTCAACTTCTGAGGAAAAATAACTTTCATACACTCTCCATCCCCTCCTCAAGTCCTCCTCCCAACTCAGTTTGTTTTATTTCCCTTTGGGCAGCACAACTTCAGTGACTCGTCTGCATGTCTTCCTCTGAGGGTCTCCACTTGCCTCTGGAGGGAGCAACTGGCACAATCAAAATATTATAAGTGCTGATTGTTTTTTTTAATTTTAAGAATCAAGCTCTAGCCTTAGCCAGTTTGGCTTAGTGGATAGAGCGTCAGCCCGCGGACCAAAGGGTCCCGGGTTCAATTCCAGTCAAAGGCATGCACCTCGGTTGCAGGCTCCTGCCCCACCTGGGCCCTGGTTGGGGCTCATGCAGGAGGCAACCAATTGATGTCTTTCCCTCTCTTTTCCACTATCCCTAAAAATTAATGGAAAAATATCCTCGGGTGAGGATTAAAAAAAAAAAATCAAGCCCTAGATGAAGTACAAACACCTATATTTCTAGAACAGAACATAGAAGTTGTAAACCTTGGTGCCATGTAGCAGTGATGGTAAAGAGGCCAGCGGTTAGGAGCAGGACAGGATGGAGGAGAGCAGAAGTGGAAGAACGTGCAAAGCAGGTTAATTTCTTCATCTACAAAAATGAAGTCACATGATGCTGCCTTAAATGGATGCACCAAGAACTAGAAAATTATACTTAAACTCTTGCTTTTCTTTCCATTGGACTGCCTTTGGCGCTATTTGAAATTTTAAAAAACCAGGTATACATTATTGTATTAACAAATTTTGGAAAACTAATTGGCACAGAAAACCAGTGAAGGAGAGATGGCATGTTCATTGTGGAAGAGGGCCTCAGTCACCAGGAAGTTGGTTTAACAGTTTCCTCCTGCGTGTGGGGCCGGCGCCGGGTGGGTCCAGTGTTGACAGCAGCTGGTGACATCAGAGTGGTCTCAACTTCCCAACAGTGCTGAGTCACTGGCTGAACTGTGGTTGACACGCTCTCCTGACTGTAAGGCCACCACAGGTGCTCCCTCCCCTGGGCCCCCAGAGCCTCAGGAACAGGCTCCTATGAATTCAGAGGGAGGTGCTGGGAAGTCCAGTGCGACCTCCTGGAAAACCTTCCTCTGCTGATAGAGGACGTACGGGCAGCTCTCTTCTTTCTGCTTTGTCCCCTTTTCTGATGATGTCATTCTCATCCGCCCTGCAGAGCTCTTCGACAGAACACAGTGTCTGGAACCGGAGGACTAGGACAAGAGGGTGTCTGTGCACCACCTCGTCCATGAGCCTTGTGTAGGGCATTCAGACTTTTGATGCCTTATCTCCACTCCCAAATGTGCCCTCTTCATGTCTCTGGGTTCTCGATTATGGAGGGAGAGATAGAGATAGAGATAGAGATAGAGATAGAGATAGAGATAGAGATAGAGAGATAGAGAGATAGAGAGAGAGAGAGAGAGAGAGAGAGCTGGCCAGCCCAAATGTGTCACCATCAAATTGTGTCTGGTGAGGAAACGTCTTATACCGTATTCCCACGGAAGTTTATAGCACCCGGCCCTTCCTTCGGGGCAGGCCGGATAGAGTGCAGCCCCCACCTTTCCCAGTTCAGCAAGGATGCTCATGCCTGCTTCAGGGATGACGGTGTGCACCTGCATGTGTGCTCCACTGTGATAGTTTGGGCCATTTTTCTTTGAATTCTTTGGCTCTAAGTGTGTCGTAGTTGGCTCAGGCTGAGGCTGGGAGAGAGTTTGGGTGTTTCCCTTTCCCCGATTTGAACAGAAGGAAACAGATCTGAGAAGCACGGGTCGCAGACTGTTCTCACTGCTGCTGAACACATGGCTGGTGACCAGGTGTTCTTGTTGGAGAGGATTCTTCTGGGAAGGCTTGTGAGTCAGGACCCCAGAGTCCTCAAATGGGTGACTTCAAATGAGTCAGCACGCTCTGCGATGCCCGATGAGTAAGGGGAAGATGATGCAGCTTGCCTTCGCCAGTCCAGAAGGCTTGCTACCCTTTTGGGGGGAGAGTCAGCAATGGGGAAATGTGTCATCACCGTTGACCCTTCGTCTTTCAAACACCACATCTGAGCAGCTTGATGTCTAATTTTGGTCTTATCTTATTTTTCTTTTTCCTAATGTGTTTTTCCTCCTAAGTTGAATCATGCAGGGCTCTTACTGGTCTCCCAGATGAGTTGAATTTTCCTAACCTGTCATTCAAAATATGGCCCCTTCTCATTTTCCCAGTTGGAATGCCCTCTTATCTGACCTAATTCACAAGCTAATTGGTCCCTTTTTCACCCTTATTGTTGCTTCTCCTCCTGTCTGGATGCACCCATTACCCCCACCCCTCAGTTTACTTTCCCTTTTTATGTAAATCTGTTGAAATCCTACTGAAGCGCCACTAGCTCTGTGGAGCTGCCAACTGCTCTAGCTCTGGCCATTTCTCCCATCTCTGAGCCCGGAGGCCTAACTGTTCTTGTGACCGCCTTGTAACTGGGCACAGGCTCTGTTTGCGGGCTGTTGGCATCTTATCTGTCCCTCCTCTCCTTTGTGTTGGGGACATGTCTTTCATTTCACTGTTTCCAGAGCATTTCCAGAGCTTGGGATGGGCTATAGTATGTCTATAACATGTAATGGGTGCCCCTGGGTATTTGTGAGATAGGATGAAAGGATCTCCCACCCTGAGCAGTGCACCAAATGTTTGTTCCCAGAGCACCTGGGTTCTAGAAGAACCTTTGGCTGAGAGTGGGGGGACGGGTACAGAGAGAAGAAGAAACCCAGAGGTGGCTTGTCTTATATTGCTCTGTACTGAGATTTCAAGTAATGTTAAAAAAAAAAAAAAAAGATTCTGTGCTGAAAATTCAAAAACCATTGGACTCACTATTATTATTTCCATGCCTAATGTGGGGAGGAGAAATTCATGCTCGCCATTAAAGAGCGTGCAGGTAGCACTGAAAAGCCATCAGCAAAGGAAGTATTTGGCCCGAAGAGTTGGCATTATAATAGTGCCAAGAAAAAATATCTGTCCCGCAGAATGGGATTTCTTAGACAAATGGACTTGCCCAAGACCATCTAAATTCTAGAAGTTTTCGTTTTTGGTGACAAGTGATTGAAGCTTCACAGTGAATCATCCAAGTGGTTAGAAGACCTGTCTCTTCAGTACAGGCCTTTACAGGCCTTTGAGTCCCCAGGGAACCGTGTGAGGCACACAGGGAACAGTGTACAGTCCAGGCCTCATACTATCCAGGCCTCATACCGTTTGCTCCAGTAAAACCATGTTTCTATGCAAGAGACAGAATCCGAGGCCAACCAGCTCCATAACAAGATGGGGAGGTGGTATAAGGACACAGGTAAAGGAGACCTAGGACAGTGAGTGAGGTGAACCCAGGCCTGGAACACTGGATGGGAAAGCCGCTCAACAGATGGATTGCTCCCTGCATCCCTGCCTCTCTCTGCCTGTCTGCTTGTCATTCATCCACCTCTGTGTGCTATGGTGACCACCAGCCCAGAGACTGCAGGTCCTCCTGGCTGCAGAGCCTGCTGCTATCTGATCACCTCTCAGATCTCATTTGAACGAGGGCAATCCTGGGTTGACTAGGTGCAGTCCGTGCTAAGTGGTTCACTTCCTGCCCAATCAGTGGAGAGGGAGGGGTTGCACAGGGTCAAGAAGCACAGATGGGGCAGGCCAGCAGCAGGAGGTGAAGGGTGGGAGCCCTGGTTGTCCAGCACAAGAGAAGTGTGGTGGGAAAACCGTGCCTAGAGTGGCAGTGATCCCTTGACTGGCATTTTCATGGACACAGACACTGGTACTGCAATTTGCTCGGGTTTTGAGCACCTCTACTGGGCAAGTACAGTGATGTGGCAGCCAATATTTTCACTGCCAGGTTTCATCAACGATTGTAAGGCTCTTCCTCCAAGACTTCATCTCTTCCTCACAGTATGGACTTTGCAGCATAGGAGGGGGCCTGCTGGCTAGTTTCTCTGCTTTGGCAACAGAAAAAGTCAGAAAATATGAGGCCTCAGCCAAAGTTGCATCTTTACATAAAGGGTAGTGACTCTGGACCATGATTGGAGAAACAGTCCCATGTTCTCATGCAAGAACTGAGGATAATAATACTCCTCAGTGCCTGGCATTCAGGTTTGTTGTGACAACAAAATGATTTAACATTTGCAATGTGTTAAGAGCAGTGCCTGATACAAAATAAGTGCCAAACAAGTGTTAATTATTAAAGTAACAATAATTTTTGAAATCCCGTGCCAGTTACCTGCCAGTACACTCTATTCCTACACCTTTGATTCATATGAAATCAGCTTTCTCAGATGTGTGTGAAATCGTGGGTGGAATCAGCTGGCAAATAAAATAAGAAGCAGCATGAACGTTCCTGTGATGAGTTTACAATGAACTGCCCAGGAGCACAGACCACCCACAAGATGTGAGCCACATCTGCTGTCCCAGATGGCTGGATGCCCTGGCTGGGCTGGAAGAGACAGGAATAGCCCTCACAGGCATAAGCCTTCCATAGTGGCCCCCTGCACAATTATCATTCTGCCCAGAACCCAGGCCATGGCCTCAGCTCCCCTCCCAGAGAGGTCTCTGCTGAATTCTATCATATGCTGTCCCCACCAGTCTTTGTCACTCACATTACTCATGTTGTTTCATCATAACAATTATCATTATTTAACATCATCTGAGTCCTGGCCAGTTTGGCTCACAGATAGAGCATTAACCTGCAGACTGAAGGGTCCTGGATTAGATTCCGGTCAAGGGCACATACCTCAGTTGCAGGCTCCATCCCTGGTCCTGGTCGGGGCACGTTCGATGGGCCTCTCTCACATCGATGTTTCTCTTCCCCTCCCTTACACTCTCTAAAAAATCAATGGGAAAAAATACCCTCAAGTGATTAACAACAAAAACAACAAATTTTAAATCATCTTATTACATATATCTGTTTATGACAGTGATGGCAAACCTTTTGAGCTCAGCGTGTCAGCATTTTGAAAAACCCTATCTTAACTCTGGTGCCATGTCAGATATAGAAATTTTTTGATATTTGCAACCATAGTAAAACAAAGACTTATATTTTTGATATTTATTTTTATATATTTAAATGCCATTTAACAAAGAAAAATCAACCAAAAAAATGAGTTTGCGTGTCACCTCTGACACGCGTGTCATAGGTTCGCCATCACTGGTTTATGATGTCTTCGCCAATAGAATGTAAGCGTATCTGTCCCATTCTCTGTGTCCCAGTACCTGGCACAGTGCCAGGCACTTGGCAGATGCTCCATAAATATTTGTTGTTGAATGCATATACCACAGTAGTGTCAGAGAGTATGGAATTGAAAGGGAGCAAAGAACACATTCTTCTGTTTTGCCTGTTATCACCATTCTGTCTCTCATTACTGGGAGCTCAGAGCTGCCTCCCCAAGGGCTGGCGGTCTGAAGGCAGACGGTCCTGTGTGAAAACAGCTGACCATCGGGGAAGGGCCCTCCAACTTTCTCTTGAAGGCTCTCAGCTTTTGCCTGACTACTGCTCACTGGGACATATGCCTTAAAGTCCTAGCTAAGTACAAAGTTGCAGGATGGTGCCTGGACAACCCTTATTCCCAAAGTTTTTGCACACTCCTGAAAGGAGGCATAAAACCCAGGCCACTTGGGCTTCCTGGCCAGAGCACCTGCCATGCTTTTCAACTCACTTCTCTAGCCCATTTGTTATAAAACTTACCATTTTATATGTCCGGATGGAACATGGGCTGGCATCTCAGTAGTTCAAATCAAAGACAGGAAATTCTTAAGTAGGGGTCACAGATGAGTTTATAAGTACAACCAAGCCAAGTTGTTGTTGCTGTGCCTGGGATGCTACCTTGTAGAGTGGGACTTTCTCTCACACTCGTCTCTGGGGAACTAAATGCCAGCAGCCTGGCAGTCAAATACTGCCAGCAAACATTCCTATACACCCTCTGGGGTGAGATGCCCCACCTGAGGACTGCTAGTGAGGGGAAAGTAAATTGCTTCACTTTACTTTAAAAGTGGTGTTTTGGTATCATCTTGTTTGGGCAGTTTTAAAAATTGGTTACTTACAGAAGAAATACATTCTTTTTGAAAAAGTCTATTTCAGACAAAGCTGAAGCCTTCTTTGATAGCTGCTTCCAGTTTTAATAACCTCCTCAACTTTTCTGAGGAAATGGGTGTCACTGGTTAGTTTCTATCCTTCCAGACCTTTTTCTGTATGTTTACATACATATATAGAAACCTGTATACCGAGCAAGTATAGTGGAGCACTCTCGGTGTGTGTGTGTGTACTGTGCGTTTCATCTCAGCTGGAGCTTTGTAGCAGCAGCACCGTATTTTACCGTGTCGGTGAGTCTCCTGGTGAGAGCTGCAGAGGAAATTGCTACCCTGGATGAGGTGTCCCCTGTAGTCTAGTCACAGGACCGGATTAGACCAAAGCTGAGGTCATTTTGAATCATTGCCTCTAACCATGCTGCTGTCCCCAGGACAAAGCGGTGCCTTGCCCTGAATCTGAAGTAGCATCTCTAAGCTTGGATACTCCAACTGCTGTATCCATCCAGCTCTGCGTCTCCTGCACCAAAATGGGTTAATTTCCTGCCCGAGCCTCTCATGTGCCGCTTTCTGTCAATAAGTTCTGGCTCTAAGAGTGCAGGTTTGATGATCATCTTGGTCCCTTAACCAAAGAATGCATAAAGAAGAATGTTTGCTTTCATGGTTAATTATTTGTCTGTGAAGTGAGCGCCTAATCTCAGGCACTTTCATCCCATCTCTAAGCCTCACAGCAGTCCTTCCCAGTAGGTATTACTAGCTCATTTTTATAGATGAGAAAACTGAGCCAGAGAGAGATTAGGTGATTTATCTAAGTCTGTTTAGTTAGTAAGTGGAGAGCCAGGGCACAAACCCTGGGCTTGATCTCAGATGAGTAGTAATGATCCATCAATTTATTTACTTATTCAACAGTATCTATTGAGTCTGTATAACATGCTGGAAATGGTACTCAACACTAGGAATAGAGCAGTAAACAAAGTAATAAAGAAACATGAGATCTCTGTCCTCATAGAGCTTACATCCTAGTGAGGGAGACAATTAAGAAGTAAGCAAACACATACTATAATTTAGGGACTGTTAAGTACCACGAATGAACATAAAGCAAAATAAGAAAATAGTGAGCTGCAGAGGGGGCTTCTTTAGAAAGAGTGTTGATAAGGCCTCCCTGAGGAGGAGACCTGAATAAAGCAAGAGAGTGAGCTATGCTGCAGTCTCAGGTGAGCCATGTTGCAGGCAGAGAGCAGTAGGTGCGAAGGCCCTGAGGTAGGGCCTGCTGGACATGTTCAAGGAACATAAGAAGCTGGTAAGACCAGACTGGAGTTGGCGAGGCAGAGAGGTGGAGGGCAATCAGAGAGGAAACTGGGCCCTGATCACTTGAGCTTTCTAGACCACGGTTAGGACTTGGGATTGATTCTGACTATGATGGGAAGTCTCTGGAGAGTTTTGAACAGGGGAGTGGTATGATCTGGCTTCAGATTTTAGAGAATCATCCTGGCTCCTGTGTGAAGAAAAGATTGTAGGTGGAGTAGACTAGATTCGGGGACATAGGTTAGGAAGCCTCCGTAAGAATCCAGGGAAGAGAAGATAGCGTCATGGGCCAGAGTGGTCAACTGTGGTCAGCTGTAAGTGTGGCTGGATTTGAGATGTTTTGAAGGTAGAACTGGTAAGGCTTTTTGATAAATTATAACCTTTCAGGAGGAAGAAGAGCAGTTAAGAATGACTGCTAGGTTTTTGCCTGAGCATCCCATTGGAGGTGGTACCATCCACTGAAATTAGAAAGCCTGGTCTGGCGTGGGGAGTAGGGGAGCAAGTTTGGGGAGGTGGAGAAGCAAGAGTTCTATTTTTGACACATTAAGATTAGACCTGCAGATGGAAGTGCTAAGATGGCAATGAGTCCATCGGGAAAAGAGTCCAGGCTAGAGAGATAAGTTTAGGAGTCATCAATGTATTTACAGGTATGGGACTTAATGAGTTTAATGGGGACTAAATAGAACTATTAATTTAGTTTATTGCCTACTGTGTGTAGGTCACAGTGTTTTGTACTGGGAACATAGCAGCAAGAAAAACAGACATGCCGATTATTCGTAGTGGCTTGCTCTTAGCCCAGCATGCCACCAGGAGTGGTCTTGACTTTTGTTATTATTAATCTTATTAAATGTTAGAGTAAAAACAAGCTTAGAGATGATCAAATAGAAACTCCAAACCTCTCTTCAATTTACAGCGGAGGACACTGGGGCCCGGAGAGGTCAGGTGATTTATTATCCTATATAATAAAAGGGTAATATGCAAATGCTTATTAAATGTTAGAGTAAAAAAAGCTTAGAGATGATCAAGTAGAAACTCCAAACTTCTCTTCAATTTACAGCTGAGGACACTGGGGCCCTGAGAGGTCAGGTGATTTATTATTAAGTAATAATAAGTCTACTTAAAATCTATTTCAAAACCGCTTACATGGCTCTCACAGTAAGTCCAAAGCACAAAATCTATTTACATGTCTCATTTACCTTAGGACCCCAAGTGTACTTGTATTCTAGTAATAGCAGTAGAGGAGACCTCAAACTGTGGTCAGCTTTAGCCATGTTTTAATCAACTCTGCATTAGTTTTCCATTGCTGCTTTAATAAATCACCGTAGACTTGGTGGCTTAAAACACACATTTATTATCTTACAGTTCTATGGGTCATAAGTCTGACGTGGGTCCCACTGGGCTAAAGTCGGGGAGTCTGCAGAGCTGTGTGTGTCTTTCTGGAGGCTCTAGGGGAGAATCCGGTTCCCTGCCCCACCCAAATTTTAGAAGCTGTCCCCATTCCTTGCTGCCAGAGGGATGTCTGACTGCCAGCTTAGGCCCAATTCCCTGGGGATTGGGCCTAAGCAAGCAGGTGATCATTCCCTGAGAGGTACCAGACTGTGAGAGAGCACTGGCTGGGCTGAGGGACTCCCCCAAGTGCACAAATTTTTGTGCACCGGGCCTCTAGTTAAGTAATAATAAGTCTACTTAAAATCTACTATTTCAAAACCGCTTACATGGCTCTCACAGTAAGTCCAAAGCACAAAATCTATTTACATGTCTCATTTACCTTAGGACCCAAGTGTACTTGTATTTTAGTAATAGCAGTAGAGGAGACCTCAAACTGTGGTCAGCTTTAGCCATGTTTTAATCAACTCTGCATTAGTTTTCCATTGTTGCTTTAATAAATCACCGTGAACTTGGCTTAAAACACACATTTATTATCTTACAGTTCTATGGGTCATAAGTCTGACGTGGGTCCCACTGGGCTAAAGTCGGGGAGTCTGCAGAGCTGTGTGTGTCTTTCTGGAGGCTCTAGGGGAGAATCCGGTTCCCTGCCCCACCCAAATTTTAGAAGCTGTCCCCATTCCTTGGCTCATGGCTCTCTTCCTTCATCTTCAAAGCCAGCGATGTTGTGTCCCTGTGGCCCTTCTTCCATAGTTACATTTCCCTCTCACTGACCACAGCTGGGAAAGGGTCTCTGTTTTTAAGGACTCCCGTGATTACATTGGGCTCCCTCAGATCACTTAGGACCGAGGTCGGCAAACTTCGGCTCGCGAGCCACATGCGGCTCTTTGGCCCCTTGAGTGTGGCTCTTCCTAAGCCTTAGGAGTACCCTAATTAAGTTAATAAAAATGTACCTACCTATATAATTTAAGTTTAAAAAATTTGGCTCTCAAAAGAAATTTCAATCGTTGTACTGTTGATATTTGGCTCTGTTGACTAATGAGTTTGCC